CTCAGGGCCCCTGCTGTATAACTGGGCTCATGGCCCGACTGCTACCATTGCCCATGGCTTGGCTCCTTGCCTGCTTTGCTTCCTTCTTCACATCCACTGCAGTGGGTGAGTGCATTGACTTGTTCCTCCCTCTGGCTGCCTGGCACTTTGGGTCTCTGGTGTGTGATGTGGGAGTGGAGGGAGGAGTTTGGCTGCTGCTCTGCCTGTTAATGATAATATCATTCTATATTGGGCAAGTGGTCAGGAAAAGACTGGCATAATTGAATGGCCAAGTTCACTCCACTTACTGGAGATTGGCTGTGGTACTGATGTAATAGAAAAGCCTTCAAAATTAATTCAGTGAAGTCAGACTCTTCACAGTGCCAAACCAAAGCTGTTGGCAAAGGGTCTTACCTATCACAGTGCTTTGTCACAAGCAGGCAAGAGTAAGGGACAATGAAGTCCCCTGCTACTTGGCAAGGACATAAGTGGGAGGGCAACAGGCCTTCCTCGCAATGACAGAGGGACAGGAGAGCAGAAAAAATGTGCCATGAATGCCATTTTAAAGCAGAGTTCGCATGTAGTGCAGGACAGTATTAGGACCGTTGTGGCCAGGCAAGGTAATAACTGTGTGTGTTTCTTTACCACTGGTTCTCCATTTGACCCCTACCTTGACTGAACCCTGTTGTTATACTGAGAAAAGTCAGTATCTTTTTGTACTTTTAATTTTGGAACTAACACTCAACCTAGAGAAGGTCAGCCACTTGTTCCTTACCTAGCTGAGCTCCCTGCTAAGCATTGTTTAACTTGTGCCCTTTGCCAGCCACCGATCCACTCCCACTCTTCTCCACATGTCTCCAAGTTATTCTGGTGGAAGCTTCTGAAGGTGTAAAGTCACAGCCAGGACATCAAAGCAGGGGTATGCCCCCAACTCTGGTGACCTAGGCACGCAGCATCACCCAGCCCCAAAATGCACAGTAAGGCCACACAGTACCTTCGTGCTCCACTCCAGGGACAGACAGATCTTCTGTTCCTTGCCAGAGGATTTTCCCTGTTTCTGCATCCCGAAGGTTCATCCAATTTCTGATTGGGAAGTAATTAAGGAAAAAAGCTACCTACATCTCTAAATGTATTCTTTATGTACTTTAGTATTCTTTGCTAAGCCCTGAAATAGGCTACTCCAGCTGAGTTTCAATCACATTTTCTGATTCTCTGGAGGCCAAGCAAAAGAGGGTTTTTCCCAGAAAATAAATGAACAAACCAATTCCTGACTAGAATGAATGCAACAAGAGTTGTATAGTCACAGTTTTAGTTTTCTCTTTAGACTGAAGCTTGTTAATCATTTATCATTTTCCATCACTTCTAAAGGATAAAGGCAATGACACTGTGCTGCAGAGAAGCAAGAGAATTGCTAACAATAACAGATAATTTGACAAAAACAATTGCTGTTCGTCAGCCGTTGAGAAATGCTAGAAAAAGAAGTGCTTCCTATGTAGCATTAGAAAGAGAATAACACCCGATGGAGCTTGTTTTCCTACTTTACAAAATATTAGTATCAAGGGTTATTCTATTGCTGTTGACCTGGCAACTGCCACTCGTGGGAATTCTTTAGCTGCTGAGTGCTGAGCAAAGAGAGATCCTCTCTTCTCACTCTCAGCAAGTGAGGCTGTGCCAGCTTTCAAAAGGCCCAGATCAGTGAATCGGTCACTGAAGTTACACACAACTGTGAAATACAGCACACCTTTGAAAAATCTCTCCTGTAACGTAACTTACACCAACACAGCAGAACAAGGAGCCCCCACACCTGCCTGATGCCACCTTGGACAGGGACAGAGGTGTCAGGAAGCCCGAGGCCCTGTGGCAGCCTCCTGCTCCACAGCTCACCAGCCCGGCTCCGAGGAGTCATGTCCAGCGTAAACACAAGCAGCCCGAACAGAGCCGGACCTGTGAGGTAAGGCCACAAACCAATGCATATGGAACTTGATGTAGGCATAAACAGGAGCTGTCAGAGAGATGCGTTTTTGAACTCATCCTCTAACATAGTTTCCAGGCTGACTCATGCAAACTTGTCACATTGATCAAATTTTTCCAGAGCTCCAAGGAAGAAACAGATGCTTTAGGGAATTTTGCATTCCAGGCTAACATTTGCTTTAGAATTGTGTGTGAAGGAGGGAAGGGAAGGTGGCTGCTTCAGCACAGATGTGAGGAGCCTTTCCCTTCCTGAAGGCCAGCCAGACTTTCCATGTCCCCCTGAAAGGGCAAGAGGGAGGAGAAATGCAGGAAAGTGTACACAAGGTCTGTTTACACAGGCATAACCTTACAGCTTCCAAAATTTAGCAACAACTTGGAGCACAGGGCATCCTGCCCATGTCCTTGTAGACCTGTTCTAAAACACAATATCTACCACTTGCTCTGGGACTAAGGCAGAAGTGAAAGGGGGAGAAGATGGAAAGCAACATCCTTGGAAGGCCCCATATGCAACTCCGTATCGTGGCAGGAAGCTCCCTCAGGAGGTCTCTCCCCAGCTAGGAAACTAAGGGAGGTGGGGGCTGCAGGCAGGCAAGTCAGAGAGAGAACATGAGCAGCAGCACCTGCAGCAGGGTTGGGCACTTCATGTAGTACTGTTGGGAAGACCCGAAGTCCCCAGTGAACATAACTTGCAGGACGGAACTGCCTCAACTGCAATTTAAAATGTCCAAAAAAATCCGCCTTTTTTGATACATTTCTCCACAGACGATGATACAAACTTGCCAAGGTGAAGCTATTTGCATAGAAAGCAGTGTGCAATCTATCAATGCCATGCAGGAGGGAAAAATAACAAATGGGATGGTCTGAGCATCTCACTGACAAATCCATTTGTCTTCACAACACCCTGTGATGCTTTCGACTATTAGATGGACAGTAATTCAGTAAATTGGGCACCTGATTATCAAAACCTGGTATTATCTTGAAAAAAATTATCCCTTTCAGAAGTATTTGCTTGCTATTTGTGGACTATCGGTATCAGCAGGAGTTATGAGCTTCCAGGTCTAGCCATAGGCTGTGTCATGCCAAACTGAGCAGTAGACAAGTTCCTCTGCCCGGGAGATGAAACACTAACCAGAACAGCAAACCCAGCACTGCACAGGAACCGGTCCAGGTCTGTGCTACACCAGTACTCTAATCAATGGACTATCTTCCTTTTTCCTTGCCTTGACTTACTTTCCTGTCCCTCTTATCAATTTTTGGAGTACTCTGAAATCACATTTACCATTTTCAAAAGTATTACATTAGAAGTGTCCTTCAAAGAGTATATGTAGCCTCACAGATTAATTATTATCCTTACTTGAAATACATAGTTATAGAGTGAAAGGGATCTATTATTTCTGGTGAGAGAAAAGACTACTGTAGACTACTGACCTCTGTCACTTCTCCTTTTAGGGCTTTATCTCTCCACCCAGTCCAAGAGAAATGATTCAAGTTATACTGCCATGCTCAACAATGCTAGATAAGTTAACATTTGGGGTGTCAGACTTCTATAAAGAGCTATTCTGTATTGATTTTTGACTGTAAGAGTAAATCCATGCAGTGTGCTTTGTATTGTGACTGTCAAACTAAAGATGAGGAATAAATAAAAACCTCAATGGTATATCCCTGCTGATGAGAGCGCACAGGTCAGCAATTCACGCTACAGTTCCTAGAAAATAACTTGTATTTAAACTATCTGAACATTGCTAACCCATGTGAATTCAATATCAAACGAATTGAGGTTTAGTATCAGTGCAGCCAAAGGCTTTCTAGACTAGGCACATACATGTGCAGTTTCAGGACAAGCTTTTCCAACTTCTGCATATAAAAAAATGTAATTAACTTGCTATTCAGAGTGTATATACAGAGTTAAATTGTGTGGATCCAGACATATTTTTATGTGGATCCCATTTAAGGGATCAGAATATTCTAGCCAGTTCACAAGATTTTTTTTTTTCCCCAGTATCTGAGCATTACTGAAAGGGAGACAGAGCATCATATCTTAAAAGTGCATGTACACAATCCTCTTCTCTTGGAAAAAGCAATTAATGTTCAAGAGATTCAATCTTAAAAAAAAAAAAATTTAAAAAGAAATATGCATCTGAAAAAAATTTCCTAAGTCAAAACTGAGGTAATTTATAAAACTCAACTCTAATGGAATTAAAAAAAAAAAAAAGGCAAAGGCCATCACAAGTGATTTTTTTTTGGCAAGGGAATACCTGACAAAGCAGCAGCTGTACTGCTTACCTAGTTAGCAGCTTATCACACTATTTCTGTCATCTTGGATAGAAAGGCTGGTACTAGGACATACCCCAGAGCGAAGAAAACAGAGATCTTGCACCAAACCCACACACCCTGTTATCTTCTAATGTGTTTAATTGGTTTAAGATTCTTCCATCCCAGCATGAGAGATATTGTTACTAAAAATAAAAAGTGCTCCATCTTCCAAGCAGCAGTGGAGACCTGCAGGCAGGATGAAGAGGGCATTTTAAGTATTACTGAAAAGGAGAAAGTAAATTAATATAGGTTTAACACAATTACTCTTTTTGAAGAGGCTCATGTCAAGCCACCTGGCAGGAGTAGCTAAGGAGAGCAAGTAGAGAGCCAGGCAGTTACAGCTTTGGGAAGTTAATATATATGGAAAAAAAGGAGGAAGACTAGTATATTCTTCATTCAGTTTCTCATTTTAAAATCACAAGAACACACTAACATCATTAGATTTTCATTCTCATTGTTTCTGTAGGAAACAATGTCTGATTTAAAACTCGATAGATCAAATGCTCTTCAATCCTGAAGGCAAGGAAGGATTAGATGGAATAGCAGAACGAAGGGTGTACTGTTGATCTATTTATATTCCACCACCTATTGGGTCAGCAAAGTCTTACATAAAAGCTTTGTAGTAGCTGGAATTTGACTTGCTTTATATACATGACATGAATTAGCTTCCTCACAGACCTACTTTGCTTAGCCTGATGAAGGGAAATGGTATGTGCCTCTCTAAATCCAAGTTTTGTTGTCTCAAATGCATCTGATCTCAGAAAAGAAATTTTCTTTTTTGTATCTGTCATAGAGATCATTTTGTTTGAATGAATCAAAATATACATGCTTATCTTAAAGTGCTTTAGCATTGCAAAAGATGTGCATGTATTAACACACTGGTAATTAATAACCTTGAAGGAAGAGAATGAGTACACACAAAAATTAATCATTAAAATAGTTAAAGAAGTTCAGCCCAATCTCCCTGACTCTTATTTGTATGTTGTTTAGCACTTCTTGAATATCTCAAAGGCTGCAGCAAACAATAAGTGTCATTTCTACCGTTAAAATAGTCCATTTTTCATTTTATTCTTTGCTGTCTGCACCTTTCTAAAATGTTAGGAACTGCTGCACTCTTATCTTTCATAATAAAAGCAAGCTTAACAAGCAAGTGGTTCACAACCGCTCCTAGAAGGGAAAGTCTTTCATCATCTTTGCAGCTCTTTTTGTACATAAAATGCAACATTAAAAACAACTCACCACATGCCAGATGCAAACGGGATCTCAACAATTATGTGTTAATAAGAAGTGGCCTATGGGGATAAATGACAGAGAGAAGGTGGAGTTGAAAGCCCTGAACAATTCAGACTTGCATCTCTGCCGCAGACCCAAAAAAGCTGCTCTGGACTGATCAACTTTCATTTCTGATTTCCCACTGTCATGAAAAGAAGCCACAACCAGGCAGTCGTGACATGGGGAAGCATGTTACTTTAAAGAATGTTACAGGTAAGTAAAGATCAATCTTTAGGGCTTATATTTTTAGCAGACATATTTTCCCAGAAAATATTTGCATCTCAGTTGTTTTAATGCCATCTGAGGAGTAAGGACTAAAATAATTGACACGAAGTAACTACCAAGCCACTGGATTACCATGTAGACCACCCAAATGGCCTTATGCTTCTACTCCACTCAGGCCATTTGTCCTCTAATCTCTCCAATCTCTAATCTCACTTTTTATTACAACTCCCAAATCCCTCTTCCACATAACTCTTAATCGTGTGCTTAAATTTAAACATGAGCATGGCCATTCAGCTG